AAAACAAGTGTGTCCGCTGTGTATATTTCCATGTTCTAGAGGTAGATTCATTCGATCTTCTCATCCTATAGATGGAAGTAGCATGAGGTCAGCCAGGAGGTTGGACACTTACCGGTTCAAAAGATCGATGGTACTGGTAGGAACATATCAGAAGTATTTCCAACGGCTACCCGGTAGGGGCATGTTGCAAATTTGGTGTGGGTACTGGTAGGGGCACTACGAAAACATACGAGGCCCAAACGACACCAGGGTTTTATGGAAAACTTGAATTTTGGTCAGAGGGGCGCGACAGGGTGAATAGGCTGTCAGAGGGGCGCTACGCAAAATAATGGAAAATACAGGAGCGCCAGACAAATTTTCCCTTTTTTCTTTTGGCCCTGGGCCTGTTACTCCAAAATGTCTTTGATATAAAGGTTCTGTGTTTTTTTGTTTTTTTTACAGTCAAAATAATAAAAAGAAAAAAAAAGTCTTTGATATAAAGGTTCTGTGTTTTTTTGCTTTTTTTACAATCAAAATAATAAAAACAAAGGTTGGGAAAACCATGAGCTGTGGATGGAGTAGCAACACATTCCCAAATCAGCAACCCTAGACAAGACATTTCTCCGATCCTGACCATGTCCTTTCCAAATTAGGGTATCCTTCTTCCCAGCTCTGCCGCACCCAAGTACTGGAACCAGCTTACCAGCAGAATTCATGGCCACACTGTGGACACGTCATATGGTTGCAGCCCCCATCTCGTTGACAGATCGTCCTACAACTCGGGCAGTACTTTGCATGCTTGCGAATCCAATCCGCAGATTCAAGGGCTTCAGCATTCTTCAGTCGGACTGATTTTTGCTTATCCCATTTATCAACCTGGTTAATGGGTGTCAACGCATCAGAGGACAAGTAGAAACAAATGAGGAAATACAAAATGATTAGAATGAGAGGACAAAATACACAAACGAAGTTGCAAAGTTATGAACACACACACACACACACACACACACAAAAAAAAAAA